GACTAAAACTGCAAATTTCGAAGTTTCTTTCGTCGCACTTTAAATTTCAAGGGGTGCTTCAGGAAGGAAATTCTGCAAGGAAACCAATGGAACCATTTTTAGAACCTCAAATTCCTGTAGAAGCGGAGTCATTAGCGTTTAAAGTTTTCAAATTTTGTCCGACTTCTTCCACTGACTCGATCCATTGTGCGACGATCGGGACACCCGGTCTGCATTTAACGATCAGTGGCTTCAATGTCTGACTCATAAATAAATATATTCTAATCAAATCATTTTTAAGACGCTCGATGGACAGGGTGAGGAAGGGTAGTAAGAAGAGTCAGAAGAGGCCTTTCGGGGCTCCGGGAGTCGGGCTGCGTAGTAGCCAGGGGGCGGACCCTTTAGTTTTTTTAATAATGTAACTTGTAAGATAATATTTTTTCTCAAGAAGAGCATTACTCAAGTGAAAAAGAGCGTTCGACTTCCGGACTTAGCCGTGGCTAGAGTCCCTTTATACTGTGAGTCAAGACAATGTGAATCCATTTCTGATTGGTTCCCGTATTTTAGACCTCCACAGTGTCACAAACACAAATAAAGATTGCATTTTCACCAATTGCAAAAATTATGTAATCTGGAATGGACCAGGGAATTACGGGTTCGGCAAGGAACAAACGGAATGAGAGAAGAAACGGAGAAAGGAATTTGAGAATGGGCCTATCATAGATTACGGAAAGCTTTCAATTTGTGTAATCTTTACCCCCGTTTGTGACTCCATGAGGGGGGGGGNGGGGGGGGGGGGGGGGGGGGTTCTTGACTCTTAGTATAAAGGGATTCCAGTCTTGGCCGATCTTTCCGCTTGCATTTTAAAGATGAGCGGCTCTTTGAAAAAGCGGAACGGAGGCCGAAGCCCCTGGTGAGCCGGAGGAGTGAAACAGAAACACTGATATCGGAACAATCTGGATTGTGCAAGCGTTTTATCCGCAAGTGGCACCGGTGGCAGTCGCGACGGGAAACGGGATAGCGGGATTACGATTACGCCCGCCCGGGAATTGGGACGTGCATCAAAGCAGCGTCGATGAGGCGCGTGGGGGGGGGG